TTTTTTTTTTTTTTGTTTGGTTTTTTTTTTTACTTGTTAGTTCTGTTTCTGCTTGTTGCACCTCTTTTGTTTGTACTTGTCTGTTGTTTTTTGTTTTTTAATATATGGTTTGAGGTGAGTTTCATCGTGGAACAATCTGATAAGTGGCAGTTATCTTCTTTTTCTCCATTTTTGAAGCTCATTCTCTCTTTACTGCCTCTTTGATGATGGCCAAGCTTTTGTTGAGCTCTTACTCCAATTGCCAAGTAATTGGTTCAAAAAGATTAATCTACTTTTGAAAAGAGTGCCAGCCTCACATATGAGATGTGATGTCCCTGCTTGAAGGGAGTGAAGGACATATTTGGTTTTGTTTTTCCTTTCCGTTTAGACTTGCTGATGTCTTTTTATTTCTATGAACATATTCCACAGTTAAAGAACTGAAATAAAAGGTATTATCTAGTCTATGCACTGAAATCCTCCTGCAGAACTACAGTAAGCCTTGATCTAATGCTTTTAGCAGTGTCTTTGTTTTGTCTGGATCCAGTCTTCCGCTTTTAGTCCAGTGCTGGAAATTCTTCTACAAGACTGACTTTTTCTTTTTTTCCCATCACACTTAGACGGATGTGGACTTGCACACACACACTCACTCACTCTCAGTGTATTCTATTGCCTTTTGTACCTTATTATTAATATGGCACTATGAATGCTCCTTATTCATGCAGCAGTGGACTGAAAATAGACCAAAGAACTTCAGAGTATCAGACTGAGGCCAAGTGTCCCCTAAAAATATCTTGCATATTGTTTACAATTTAGAGATGGCAGTGACCTGCCAAAAGCGTCCACTTTCATGCTCGCTGCAAAGCAAACTACTATTTTATATGAGCGTCCGTTTTAGTCACAGTGGAGGTTGTCAGTTTCCCAGTATACTCTGGTTTGTGGTAATGCGAACTTTGTGGTTTTGTAAATACAGTGCTGATAAAGTTTGAGGAATGACCTTTAACCACAAGGTTTTGAAGGGAGCTCACTGGACCTGAATTTTGGTCCTGTATTTCTAAAATGACTAAAAGAATTCAGACTCCTTTTATGTGAGTAACTCAAAGCTTTCTGTTACCTTTGATTTTTGCAAAATTTGCGTCAGTCTGACTCACAGCAAGTGCATTCAGCTGGAATTTCTCGTTTAATTTTTTTTAAGGAGATGACTTTATTCCCCAGGAGCAAAACTCAGAGTTCCTTGTCTCTTGCTCAACTGTTATTCCTTGTGTCTATCTCTGAGTGGAATGTGCTTTGGGAAGTTTTCAGCACCTCAGAGACCGAACAGGAAGGAGGCATACTGACTTCTGCTGCAGAATGCCTCACTCACATCCGCTTGGCTAATGCCTCACAAACAAAGAGTGGTCAGTTTGTGAGGAGTGCAAGAATTTTGCACAGTATCCCTCTGGCAGACCCGTGTTATGTGATCATTCCGATTCGAATAAGCTTCGGACTTGTTACCTTTGACTTGGACTAAAATTTCACTCTTGAGATGCAAATTGTAGCGAAAAAAAATCCTGCTTTTTCTGACTTTACCTTTTCTTTGAGCTGTGAGCTGTGCTACTGTAAGGGCATTGTAGCGGTAGCGCAGTGGAAACACTTAGGCAGCGATTTTGGTTGGGAGCCGGGTAGAATCTGTGCCAATTTATCAAGGCCTCCAGCAGAAGGTGGAGCAGGGACAGAGAAAAGAGGGCTGTATGAAGGTGCAAGGTGGGGGTTGGCTGTTTAAATA